AACTTGTCACATCTAACCTAGAAAAAGCAGATTATCAACTGCTCAAATAAAGTTTACAATGCCCACACCAGATACATACAGGGCTAATGGCAATTTCAGGGGCCCTTGAAAAAACAATAAGCTGAAATCAGAAAATAACGTAATCCAGCCTAGTTTAGGTTCGTCTTTATACCAACACAGCCATAAACTATGCTTTTAAACATATCTTTTGAAAATAAAGGGCCCAGCCTATGAGAGCAGAACTGCCAGGGCCCGTGAAAGCACTGGAGATAGTGACCAATGCCATATTGCTTAATAAATGTAGCAAAGTAAGAAAGTCACACGTGGGAAAGAGAAACAGAACATGCAAACTCTGATAATCTCAGGTGTCAGAGGGAGGAGAATGGGTGGGGTACACTGAGGGCTTAGATTGCATCTGTAATGCTGTATATTTTAAGGTTATTAGTGAGGAGAGGGAGTTGTTTATTCTGAATACTTTTGTATACAGGAGTAGTTCATCCTATATAATAAAAGGCTAATATGCAAATTGTCCCCTCGGGAGTTCTACCATAGACCGAGAGTTCAATCGCTATGATGTGTGCTGACCACCAGGGGGCAGTGTGGAACATGGTGGGAATATGGAGTTGAGGGAGCGAGGGAAGGAAGAGGTGGGGAATCTGATCGGCCCTGATTACAGGCCAGGCCTAGGGACCCTACCCGTGCAGGAATTTCATGCACCAGTCCTCTAGTAATAAGATAAATATAAATAAAAGACTCCCTTTGTGCGCTAGTCAAGATAGAATAGGTTATGCTGCAAACAGCCCCAAAACTCAATGGCTTGACACAACAAATGTGTGTGTTAATGCTATGTCTCCAAGGAAGCCCGGTTGTTCACTGCAGATCCTCCAGGACTCGGGCTGACTGGAAACTTAACACATTGCGGACCAGTAGTTTTATTGCTAGCTTTACCCAGTGGCCAGATAAGTTCCTATTGAACGAGTACAAAAAGCGGTTTACATAAATGTTAAAGGCACGCCTTAAAATTAAATACCCATTGCATTTTGAAGTTACTTATTACATGTTCTTACAAGCTAATATCTTTTTAAAGTATGATACTCTGTAAAACATTGTGTAATATGAAGCGAGAATTCTCGTGATCCATCCGCAATGTGTTAACTTCAACCATCCGATCCCCAAACACAGAACAGCAGGAAGGGACATGGTGACTGCCCCGCTGGCTCTCACCTCCAGCTTTCACTAACTGCTCATTGGCAAACACACACACACACACACACACACACACACACACACACACACATACACACGACCACGTCTAACTGCAAAGGAAAGTGCAATCTTTTTTTTTTTAAATATATTTTATTGATTTTTTACAGAGAGGAAGGGAGAGGGATAGAGAGTTAGAAACATCGATGAGAAAGAAACATCGACCAGCTGCCTCCTGCACATCTCCTACTGGGGATGTGCCCGCAACCAACGTACGTGCCCTTGACCGGAATTGAACCCGGGACCTTTCAGTCCGCAGGCCGACGCTCTATCCACTGAGCCAAACCGGTTTCGGCGGAAAGTGCAATCTTATCATGTTCCCAGAACGAGGAGAAACGGGGAATTGGAGGATGGCTGTCACTTTTAGGCATGTCCTACGCTTCCCTTCCACAAACACCGTGTAGGGGTGCCCCCAAGGTCTTTCCCAACTCTTTTCCCACTGGGTTCTCACAGCCCCTGACAGTTTCACACGCGAGTAGATGTGCACGTGGCCCAGAGCAGTGTGGCAACTTCTCCGAGGTCACAGCCAGGCCACGAAAGATACGTGGGTGACAGAGAGGCCGGTCCTGTCCCAGGTGCTGCCGGAAACGCCTGTCTTTTCCCAGGCGTCACACCAGCCTGCGGCTCTGAGCTGCAGCCCCGCCCACCAGTGCTGCTGTGTGCGGAATCCCTTTCTGTAAACGGGTCTAAAACTCCTTCCGTTCATACACTGGGCTTCACTGCCTGATCACGAGCCACGCAGAGCAGGCGAAGACAAGAACCTAAGGAAAAACCAGCAAAGGTTACTAAATTCTGGAGAGGGTCAGTTGACAGCCAGAGTCTATTAAGCTGGTTAAAAAGAGAAATCCTAGCCCTACTGGTGTGGTTCAGTAGCTGAGCGTGGACCTATGAACCAGGAGGTCACGGTTGGATTCCAGGTCAGGGCACATGCCCGGGTTGCTGCTCGATCCCCAGTGGGGAGCGTGCAGGAGGCGATTCTTTCTCATCATTGATGTTTCTATCTCTCTCTCTCTCTCCCTCTCTAAAATCAATAAAAATATTTTTTAGCCCTAACCGGTTTGGCTCAGTGGCTAGAGAGCGTCAGCCTGCGGACTCAAGGGTCCCAGGTTCCATTCCAGTCAAGGGCATGTACCTTGGTTGCAGGCACATCCCCAGTGGGAGGTGTGCAGGAGGCAGCTGATCGATGTTTCTCTCTCATCAATGTTTCTAACTCTCTATCCCTCTCCCTTCCTCTCTGTAAAAAATCAATAAAATATATTTTTAAAAAAATAAATAAATAAAAATATTTTTAAAGAGAAATTCGCAGTCCCCAGCGTCCCACGCGGGCTGTCTCCGTGTGTGGTGGGGGGCGGGGGATGGGGGTTAGGTGACAGGTGGGGCTACTCAAGCTACCTGAAAGCCCCGCCCACCCCAGGGCGCCTGCGCGGTGGCTATGACGCCGGCGCGAGCCACACCCCCTTCCAGGGCGACTGAAGGCCAAGGGGGCGGGGCCTGGGCACAAGATGGCCGCGGAGCGCCCGGAGCCCCAGAGTCCGAGCTCAGCGGCCCGGGAGCCGCGCTCCCCGGAGCTGCCAGACCTGGTGCGAACGAGAAGGGGACCGGGGCGAGGGCTCCGGGCGGGAGGAGGCCGCAGGGCAGGGGGCGGGGCCGGGGGCGGGGCCTCTGAGGCTGGGCGGGGGAGCTATTAGAGCCGTGTCCTGGGGGCGGGGTTTCTCGGGTTGTGGTGGGGGGCGTGGCCTGTGGCGCAGCCTATGGTGCCGTTGGGGCGGGGTTTTACTGGGGCGGGGCCTGGTGAGCATCTGGGCGGTGGATGGGTCCCAGGTATTGAACTTGTCAAATTAGGGGGCGGAGCCTTCAGAGGGGCGGGGCCTCCACGAGACTGTGGGGCTCGCGGGCTGGGGTGGCAGGCTGGGAAGGTGATCTGGGGGCACCCACGTTGGCGTGGGGGTGTGATGCTCTGTAAGGGCCTGGGAGATGCGTCTGGAATAACCAAGGGAGGGTTTTTGAGGGGGAAATCACCGCTCCAGGTGGCTTTGAGGCCACTCTCAGGTTCCCCCACTCGGGGCTGGAGAGTGAGGACACTCATTCATTCATTCAACAAACATTTGCTGAGCTGTTAACCTGGGGGTTCAGTGGGTGGGTAGATGGGGGGAGGCGGATGAAGACTGCTCGCCCGCAGCTTGCAGTCTGGTAGGGGAGAGAGGCATTGAGGAGATGGATTGTGTGGAGTTCCAGAAAGGAAATAAAGACGGAGTGGGGGTGGGGGAGCTAAATTTAGACGAGAGCAGTCAGCTGTGTGCCGGCTGATATTTACAGCGGGGCCCGCGAGATAAGCAGGGGCAGGTGGCAGCCGATATTCCTCGGCGGTCTGGGATTTTTAAGGGCAGCTGGAGCCACGGAACGTTTTGAGTGGGAAAATGACTTGATCTGATTTCCATTTTCAAAAGGTCACTCGGGCTGCTGGCGAGATGGGCTACCAGGAGCGGGCCCAGCACAGAGGCTCTTTCAGGAGCTTTTCTTGATGGGGCTAGAGCAGGACCTAGAATCGAGGGGTACAAAGGAAATGAGGTTTTAAAGAAGTGGGGCGTGTTGGGGAGGCCTTGGGGCAGGGTCCACAGGCTCCTCTCTTCTCCCCCCACCCCCACCCCAGGTCCTGGTGCCCGATGACAGCAGCCCCGCCACGCCCCCGCCTGACCTCATTGAGATCCAGGTGGTGAAGGTGACGGACACCACCCTGGTGCCCGAGCCCCCGGAGCCAGGCTCTCTTCACTGTGCCTTGTGCCCGGCTGCCTTCCGTCTGGTCTCCGAGCTGCTGTTCCACGAACATGGCCACCTGGCCGGGGCCGAGGCCGGCGGGCAGGGTGCGGACCCCAGCCGGTGTCACGTGTGTGGCCACAGCTGCCCGGGCCCCGCCAGCCTCCGCGCCCACTACAGCCTGCACACGGGAGAGCGCCCTTACCGCTGCCCGCTCTGTCCCCGCGCCCTTCAGGGCTCTGGCGGCCCTGCTGCGGCACCAGCACCAGCACAAGGGCGGAGCCCGGGAACTCTGAGAGGCCCCCCGAGGCGGCAGCGGCAGCGGCAGCGGCAGCGGCTCGGGGACAGGGGCCCGGGGTGCCCCCGGAGCGGTCCGAGGTGGTGATGGCGGCGGCGGCGGCGGGCGCGGCCGTGGGGAAGCCGTTCGCCTGCAGGTTCTGCGCCAAGCCCTTCCGCCGCTCCTCGGACATGCGCGACCACGAGCGGGTGCACACGGGCGAGCGGCCCTACCACTGCGGCGTCTGTGGCAAGGGCTTCACGCAGTCCTCGGTGCTGAGCGGCCACGCCCGCATCCACACGGGCGAGCGCCCCTTCCGCTGCGCGCTCTGCGCCCGCACTTTCAACAACTCGTCCAACTTCCGCAAGCACCAGCGGACGCACTTCCACGGCCCGGGGCCCGGGCCCAGAGACGCCGGGAGCCAGCTGGCGGCGGGGGCCGAGGGGCCGGGGAGTGGGTGTGGGGCGGGAAACGCTCGGGAAGAGGGGCGTGGGGAGACAGCGACCATGAAGGTGAAGGTCGACCAGTAGGCTGGTCGCCATGGACGGTAGGCGGCAGGTTGCAGGGGAGGGGTCGGGTGGGACGAGGAGGCAGCTGACAGAAGAGGGGAGGTTGGGGGAGAGCAGAGGGACAGCCACGTTCCGGGCTCCCACAAGCCCACGGGGCAGCTCAGAGTCAGAGAAAGGCATCAACGCAGCCCATTGGATGTCCAGCTAAATGCAAGGAGCACGGGCTGAACGTCTGTCCCGTCTGCCTGCCTGTTGGGTCGAGTTTCTGCAAGACAGAGTCTGCATCCTATACAGAGGAGCCAGGGCTAAGGGGATGGGCAGGTCCGGGGTCTATCCCAGTGTCCCTGGCCAGCCCTTCATTGCTGAACTGTCTTGGGGCCTAGGGTGGACCAGGATGGAATCCTTTGCCTACCTCACTGGTTGCACTGAACATGGGAGATGCCTGCCGGGTCCTCCATAGAGACTGGAATCCCATCACCTCAAGCCAGGGGGCCCCCAAGTCATTGACTAGAGCACTTGAACCTCCAGAATTCAGCCTGACCGACCGTGACGATCTCGACTCCAAGAGCTGCTGTCCCTGTCTCCATGGTCCATTCTAAACCCACCAGAATCCTCTTCTGAGTCCACTGAAATCCAGGCAGCAAACGCCACTTCACAACCAGCACCTAGGGTTAGTCTCAGCCCACCTCCACCCAGCTCTACGGAAAGCCTCAGGGTTCTCTATTCTCCACTCCCGATCTGAAGCAAACAGCTTACTGCCTGCCTGGCTGCCCCAAGGCCAGCGGATGGCCAGCGCGTGGCAGCTGTGCAATGAAATGGGGCGAGGGGAGGACTTGGGAGCTGGAGGTGGGCGGCCTCCAGTCCAATCCTATTAAAGGGCTTTCGGAAGGGCTGCTCTAGGTCGGTCTTGTGTTTGGGTTGTTTTCGTGGGGGACTGGGGGTCAAGGGGCCACATTATGGTATTGCCACCAACAGGGGACTGCAGCGCACCCTTCTCCAAACCTTAGCACGGGTGGACAGCGCCTGGCTAGGCAGAGGCGGTGTGTGGTGCAGCTATGGGAGCGGGGCCAGGGGTGGTTGGCAAAACGAAGGACCCCTGTGATCAGTATTAAGGAAGGAGAGCCCGGGTTTGCTCACACTCCTGCTCCCCAGCGCTCCCCAGGGGAGAGGAGGTGCCCCGTCATAACATGAACACAACTTTCTGTTTCCCCCAAAGAAATGCCTGCATTTCCTCTCTCCCCGACGCCGGGGTAGAAACCTGGGCCTGTCGCTTGAGCCTTTGCCCCTCACCTGCTTATCTAATCCCTTTTCAATGTCCTGCTCCCGAGCCAGTGAAATTTCTTTGGGACCTGAATGCTCCTTTGCACCATGACTACTCGTAGACCAAGCCAGTGAGGCCTCACCTGGGGATAACCATGCAGCTGCCCAGCTTCCGGGCCCTGCCTCCCTTCTCCATCCCACAGCCACGTGCCTCCTGCAGAACCACGGATCCCACCTCATCTCCAACCCACAGCCCCTCGCGGCTTTGAGAAGGGGTTGTAAACCTGGGTGCCTGCTGGGGCCGAGGGAAATGAGGAAGGTGGGGGGTTCCAGGGGAAATATGGAGGCTGGCACTGGGGCTCAGAGTTGGGGTTGGGGGAGTGGGGCCTGGTGACAGATTGGAGAATGGGTGCCCCATCTGCATGGTTATTGCACTGAAGGAGGCAGGCTGGGCCGACAGTGTCTACATTTTCCAGCAGTTCATGTTATGCAAAATGTTTTGGTTTTCAAATGTTGGTAACCAAGTCCACATTTTTGGGTGTTTTTCTTTGTTTTCAATCTATTGTTATTGATTTCAGAGAGGAAGGGAGAGGGAGAGATAGAAACATCAATGATGAGAATCATTGATCGGCTGCCTCCTGGACCGAGCCCACAACCCAGGCATGTGCCTGACCGGGAATCGAACTGTGACCTCCTGATTCACAGCCACTGAGCCATGCCATGGGGCTGTTTCTTGTTTGCATGCACAGCTAATCGAATGTGTCAGGGGCTGGGATTAGCCTGGCAGTCGGCAGCTTCCAGAGTCTGGGGTCACCTGAGCTCCTTCAGGATCACCTTCC